CCGTCCAATCACGTTTAAATAGGAAATGAATCTGAAAAATTATCGCGATTTGATCTATACCGTACGATCGCGTTTAAAGAAATAAGGAATCTGAACCGTTCATCGCGTTTAATCGCGACCGCCCGATCGCACTGAGAACATAACGCATCCGGACCGTTCGTACGCACGAGAACAAATCCGAACTGTCCAATCACAGACAAGCGGATCACCAGCGTGGCCTCCTGCGTGGAACCGCACTAGCGTGTCTTGCCACGCAGTGCACTTCAGTTCGCAAGGGCTACTGGCTGGGCGTCCAACGTGACACATTTTTTTTAAATTATATTTTGACCATCAGTTTTCGATTTTTTTTTCAAAAATACTCATAAAATCTAAATTTTCACTAATTTCTCTCAAAATTATTTTCAATTTTATTTTTCACCTATTTTTTCATAATTTATATTAAATAATAATTTATAAAATTAAAAATTACATTTTATATATTAATTTTAAATATTACAAATTATTTTCGGGTATTACATTTGGGATATTGCAATTATTATCAGTATCAATCACAAAATACCAAAAACTCTACTTACAAATTGGAAGTTCAAAATTTGACTTCACTTTAAACTCTAATTTTATCAAATAATTTTCGGTTGTAATGTAAAATTAATTTTTCAATACAATATAATGTAATCAATTATAGAGTTGAGACATCTTATAATGATGATAGCTTTAGCTGTAATTATCATTAAATTTTAAGTTAATTACATGTAATTTTTTCTTGCATTTTTTTTTTAATTTATATAAGTTATCATTGAAAACTCTAGATGTTATAATAATTTATTAGTTAAAAAAAATTATTCTTTACATTGCTTTTCTTTTTTGAATCTAAAAGTTTTTTTTATTATTTAAATTTAATTTATTTATAAAATAAAGCTACGTAATGATAAAAATACTGTTAATATTTTAGAAGTTCAGGGTAGAATGAACACCTTAAGTATACAAAGAAGTCACAAACAAATGAGTGATGTTAAAATCTTTACTGTTTGTGATATTTAAACTTCAAAGATTTTAGGAAGAAAGCAAAGAAAATTTTCATGAATCAAGGGTCAAAAACATTTTACCATTAGAAAGAGTTTAAGAGCGAATCAAAAATTTCAATTTCTCTTTTCATCTCAAAATCTCTCCATGTGACAATACAGACGGAAGTTTTAAGCAACTCCAAAGCCGGAGCAATCAGAAGTGAAAAGAGCAAGAAGATGACGATGCAAAAGTGGGTTGATGTAGGATCTTCTTCATGTTCTTCAAAAGAGGAGAATTCAGGGAGACCTATACGGCTGGTGTATACCGATGAATGTGGAAAGTTCAAGACGGACCCAGAAGCTATTGATGCCCTGCACCAAGTAAAGGGTCCCATTGGCGTCGTCTCTGTCTGTGGAAGGTCTCGTCAAGGCAAGAGCTTCATATTGAATCAGGTTTTTTAGCACTTTACCTGCCAAACTATGTGGTATTCTACGTCATACTGCTCTTTTTTTTGTTGATATTGCGGATTGTGCCATCACTTCGTATTGGGTTGATCGTTGCTATGGGAAGAACAACCGCGTAAAAGGGAAAGAAAAAATGCACCAAAAAATTGGGCTTTATTTCTTCTTCGTGCTTGTGCTAACTTTTATTTCTTGTGCTGTTCTTCATTCTTGGCCTTGAGATTTTGAAATGCACTTCAGTTTTAAGCTTAAAAGCTGCTGTTATTGTTCCTCTTCCTAAAACCCCCATTGAAAAGATTAATCATTTTTTTTTAGGTTTATAATCGTCTGCCGCATTCTATATTTGTGCCAAAAAATGAAAAACAGAATGGCGGATTTTTTTGTTGGGGATGGGGGAACTGGGGAGTGTGAGGGGGTTGATTATGTGCTTTACAGCACATGTTTTCTTCTGTTTAATGAAAATGAAAAAATCAAAATGTCCTAAGAGCATGGTCAACATGTGTTAATTTAACTCTATGGGTTTCTGCATCAAACAGCATTGAGAGGGTGGAAATCAGTCTTCTTGTATGCATAGACTATATTGGGTGACGAATTATGAATAATCAATAGGGTAACTGGACCAACTAATATGCTAAAAGTGTGATTTCTAATAATTTACTTTGATAAAAATAAAAATTGGTACTGAAGGACGGAAAATTATATACCTACGTAGTTTGAACATGTTTGGAAGTATTAATCCAGTGGAATATATATATCGATGGACGGAAGATCGATTTTATGTGTGGAGACAGTCAACTTGCATGTAATACATAACATAATGAAACATGTGCAACTTACAGTGTACATGGTCTCTATGAAAA